ATAGATCGCCAGAAGTCATGCATATTCAGTAGTCACAAGGTGGGTGGTAACCACAGTAAAGTCCCTGAGCTCACAGGTGCTCATAGGTGAGGAAATCTATTACCTGCATTGGGAGAAGGCATGAGGGGGGCTGGGTGCCTCGGTAGGGAGACAGAATCAACCATGTGCTTACTTTGAGGCAGCACAGTTGTTAGGCGAGAATCTGTGGAAGTGATATTTAAAGCAGGGTAATGTACGTGGACTTTCTCTCTAACTTAGCAAAGTGGTGGCGTTCCTACTGTGGAATACTAGCTTTCTTGATTCCCTCTGTTATAAGTTAGGGAATGTAGCCCTAGTCATATTTCCTTCAGTATTGATTTCCCACACCTTCCTTTGTAAATTATTGTATAGTAACAGTTTTTATATAGATAGTCTGTGTGCTACTCTAAGATTAGGTTCATTTAGGTGAGCAAATAGAATTTTCTAATAGAAGAATATTTTATATCATATTTGAGAAAAATATTTTATACTTTGAGTAGTGTGGACTAACGGGTAAGTTTCACTGGCTACCATAGAAATTTACTTCATGTTTTACATATAAAACATTTATATTTCTTTTTTTTTTAATTTGGTGTGTGAAAGAATGTAGGAGAAGGACAACAGTCTTGAGTCTGTCCGGTGGGTGGGTGTCTTGAGTTAGATGTAGAATCTGTTGAGATGAAAAAATTGAGACTGATTATCAAAGATGATTCACAGTTTATAATATTTTACCCGCCAGTGCTTTAAATGTCATTCTTAGGATAACAGAGTATTTTTAATTCATTATGTAATTTTTACTTAAAACTTGATCATTTTAAATTTATCTAAGTGTCGCCATCAATAGCATTTTCGTGCTCTGCATCTCACACCTGTTTACTGATAACAGGTACTTTAGAAGAGCGGATTCAAGTCTATGAAGAAATTAGTAAGCAGCATCCCAGAGCAATATCACCTAGAAGATTGCCTTTGAATCTCGTTCCAGGTAATATTAGGGAAACCTCTTATACACTACTAGTTGACTGGTTGAAATCACTTAGTGACATTCAAAATTTAAAATGGTATCGGGGCTGGGGGGAAGGTTTCTGGTATAGAGTTTACATCTATACCAGTGTGGGGGTGTGGGTTGACCAGTTACTAATCTTATTATGTATACATATGTTAATAGTGATATACTTCAGTGTATAGCTATAGTAAAGTTAGTTTTGAGTATCAGGAATTATATTTATATAATTGTCTTTCTTATGGATCTTAAAAAGCAACAGAATTAGAAGGTAAATTGTACTCCGCAGAACGGATTACAAATTATATTGTGATATAAGTAATGGGAGTTTCATGCCTTTTAGATGTAAGGGAGGAAGACGGGGCTTTCTATTCCCGTAAAGAATTACAGCCTCAGAAACCCACAGGAGTAGTTTACCCTG